TAATTATGATACAAATGAAGATAGGGATGCAGTTTATATGGATATAGATTCTTTTATAGAAGGTAAATCGTTAAAATATTATTTTTTATTTATTTATTAAATAATGTTATTTGTAGTAATCATCTCATTTAATTATTTTACAGTATCCGGCGAACTAGTAGATAAAGTTTTTGGTCTAAGCTATTATGAAAATTTATGTGCCTTAGGAAAAATATTAAAATATTTATTTAGGAATGTTTACAATAAACCAAAACGAGTACCACAAGGAGTAGTAAGAGTAAAATCAGATTTTGTTTTTTCAGGAAAATTATTTGTAGCAGCATGTAATGATAAATTATTGGTCCCGAATATTATAATGTCATTATATGCAAATCATGAATTAATACCTCAACCATGGCAAATATTAATATGTACACCATCAACTACCATGGAAGAACTTTCAATTTTCACCAAACGATGTTTCTTTGCGGCAAAAAATAGATATGATGATTACTTATTTTGTATTGCTAATTTGGAATTGGTCGATTTTGAATTACAGTATCAACTTGTTAACATTATTAAATCAATGAGTGAAGAATATGATAAATATTTATTAGCCCTTATATGTTGCCGAGAACCCGGTGTTCATCATCATATATTGGATCAATTCTCACAAGATGTTCATACAACTAATGGACTTGACATGAAATCTATGAAAAAAATATATAAAGAACTATGCCCCGAAATATTTTGTGTGATCTCAGAATTGTCTGGTTTAGGAAAAACTGAATGGATTAAAAATAAAAGTTATGAATTAAAGAAAGCACCAACTAGCTTTTTAATTAACGACGACGTTGATTTTAGAGCATTGGTTAAACAGTTTAAAGAATTTAAAATTCAACCATTTGAAAGTTTACATTTGAATATAGTATCATCTAATAATCCTCGGGACGTTAATATGTTTATATTTGAACTATTAACTTTAAGAATGGTTGTAAATAGTATCGATATAGCTCATTTGCTCAATACAACTATATTCATTGAAGTTGCATCAACGGTTGATCATTATCTGTTGAAATCTATACCTATAGTTCAATGCCTTGAAACTACTAATTTGGTATGGGACATTAGAAATCTAAAGGCGTCCAATGAAATATATAGTCCTATTCAGATCGTTTGTCATTATTTAAGTGCTTATGAGAGAACCATTGATACTAAAAATCTTTTACTTCAATCAACTGGACCTGATGCTATTAAACCTTTATCAGAAGAAGTATGTCAAGATCTTATAAATAAATATTTATTCGATAATGGCACTGGTAAACAGGATATTACATCATTCAGATTCATTGAGGCATTTATTAACGTATTTGCTGATCAATTGGTTCGATTTTCATCGAGTCAATTCTTTAGAATTGAAAATTTGAAAGTGACAATTAAAGAAAAAGAAATTCGAAAAACTTTACTTCGAACTTTGTTAGACGTTTCTAAAGATTTTGCTACATTATCAGTTAAAACAAAAGCTGCTCAATTGGAATCAACAACTACGTCAACGACTCCATCAAATAATGATAAATTGGCAACCATAGTTAGTTGGGATGATTCAAATCATCTTTTGGTGTTTTTCTTGTCACAAATGCCAGATTCTATTTGTGCCTTATATCGTGATGAGAAGAGAGTTCCTGAAAATGTTAAAAGATTATTAAAAAGTCAACATACTGATAGAGATAAAAGATTTCAATTGGAAAATTATAATACCATGGATACAAAACAATTACTGGAAAAATTAGAATGTTTGGCGAGAAAAACTATGCATAAGATTAAGTATCCTCGATATGCATTATCAGCAGATAATCTAATCAAGATGGCTTTAATTTTATTAAGGGCTCGTGCTAGCATTCCGGTAAACTATTAAATATAACTTAAAAAACATTACTGTTTTAACTAATGCAGGATGTCCTAAAAATTATATTAATTTTATACTTAGGTGATCGTCTGTGGTGAAGCAGGGTGTGGAAAGGTAATTTAAAATTTAAACCTTTCCGTCAAATTCTAGGCTTGTACCTTATTACTGTAAACTAATAAAAAGTTAATATTTGATAATTTTAGACAAGCTTAATTGGTTTTCTATCACAAGTAGTTGAGGTTAAGTTCAGATCGTTAAACTTACATGCTGGGGTGACTGAAGAAAACATTTTGTCTTTCATGGCAGAAGCTCAAAAAGTCGCAGATACTTCTGAACTATGGTTATTCTTTGATGAAATAAATACATGCAATCATATAGGTCTCCTTGCAGATTTAATAGCTCACAGAATGCTAAATGGTCGCCAAATACATCCCAATATCAAATTATTCGCAGCATGTAATCCATATCGTATACGTACAAAGGATCAAAGTAATGTTGGGCTGTCTACAACGGCTAAGAAAAAAGAAATTAGATATGAGGAACGTAGCAATCTAGTTTATCAAGTTAAACCGTTGCCTGATCAAATCCTCGATTATGTTTGGGATTATGGTGTTCTCCAAGAAAAAGAAGAGGAAAGATATATTCAAACCATGGTCGCTGAAGCATTAGAAAATGAATTTTCAAACATAGACACATTTTCTAAATTAATATTCAAATCTCAAGTATTTATTCGAGAGGAAGAAGAACCCTATAGCGTTAGTCTTCGAGATGTTAAACGGGCAATCACTTTGGTAAAATTCTTTAAGGAAAGTTTCACAAAAAGACCACAACAAAATGAACAAAACAAATACCCTTCAGATGATGATGGGATTAACATTTCACTTAGGTGTTATGTACTAGCATTAGGGCTTTGTTACCAGTGCAGATTATATGATCAAACCATCAGAAAAAAATATCGTAATGAAATGGCAAAAACTATTAGTGATGACATGAGTAAGGGTAAAAGAAGAAAATTTGAATTTAGTGAAGAAACCTTTAGTCGTATTATTAGACAAGAACAGGAAGATTATATAAATAGAATGACCTGTCCTCCTAATACTGCAAAAAACGAAGCACTCTTGGAAAATGTTTTGGTTATGATTATTTGTATTCTCACCAAAATTCCTGTATTTATCATTGGAGCTCCAGGGTAAACAAAACATTATTATAAATGCATATCGCGAGTTGTGTTTTTTAATTATATATACTGAATTACTCATATAACACTTTTTAATAACATAGGTCATCAAAATCTTTAGCAGTCAGGCTTGTAAGTCAAAACCTAAAAGGATTTGATTCCGAAGATGAGTACTTTCAAAAATTACCACAGGTACATATAACTTTCACACTTTCCAGACGTTCTACGAGTAACACACTTAAGCAAAATCTTTCTGTATAGGTCTACCTTATTCCACATCAAGGTTCTTCATCATCGACATCAGATGGTATTTTAAAAGTATTCGATAAAGCCAATAATTATCAAAAAACAACCTCTAAAGAATTTCCTGTAATAAGCGTTGTCTTGCTGGATGAAGGTATTGCACATATAATAGAAAAAATTTGCTTCTTAAAAAATAACAAATTTATAATAACAATTATTCGACGTTTGTATAATATAGTTGGCTTGGCCGAAACAAGCCCATTTAATCCATTAAAGGTCCTTCACTATTTGCTCGAGCCACCCTATGGATCCGATAGTCAAACTGTTTCAGTGATTGGAATATCTAATTGGAGATTGGATAATAGCAAAAGTAGCAGAGCTTTGTTGGTTCAAAGGTTGATTTTTATTATTTCATTTATGAATATGTGTATTTATTTTTTATTAAAAAAAAATATATAAATTAAACATTTTGAATTATACGAAATAGGCCTAAATTTGATCGTAACGACCTAGTTGACACTGCAATCCGTTTACTAAGTCCTAAAATAGAAACAAATGAAATTCAAACTAACATATCAAAAGTCTCTTTGGAACCACTTGCCGATGCGTACTCCACTTATGAACAAACCGGTCAACAATTCGCAAATTTCCATGGCCTACGTGACTATTATGCTCTTGTAAAATCCCTCTCAACAGCTGAACTTACACCAAAAAGTATTCAAAAAGCTTTGACTCGCAATTTTGGTGGAACTGATAAAACTCAAGAATTATGTGAAAAATACTTTGCACAGGTGCTAAGGAATTTTAATCAACAACGTGAATGGGAGTACATACCTATACCAATAGAAGATTTAATAAATGCAAATCTTGATGACAAAGAAGCAAGGCACTTGATGGTTATTGGTAAAAGTGATTCAATAGTAAATTGGTTAACTTACAAATTG